TTTTTTTTTTGCTTAGGTTTTTTTTTATTCGTAGCAAAATAAAGACTTTGACTGCTAGTTCAAATTTCGAATGCATAAATGTTCATTTTAATTTTTTAAATTTTAAAACGTTTTTTAATAGTTTACAATTTCATGTGACCACTAACCAACATTAGAGAATCGTGAGCATGCAAACATGTTGTTAAATTATTATAATATTAATATTATTGAATATGAATATTACTGAAATATTAACTTTTTAATATTACTTTATATGAATTTAATCTGAATATAATTTTTAAAATCAGTTGTTAGCTAAATTGTGACTGTTTGTCATCGTTTTGCTAGTTACGTTAATTTCTAGTTTAAACACTGCATAATTCCAACATATTTCTTTAATTCATTCGTAAATGCTTTAATCTCAGATCTTGCACATAGGAATGTCAGCAAGGAAATGTATTGATGTAAATCCATGTCTAGTTTCTCCGGCGTGCTTGTTGTGTCAATGATCTTTGTGCTTTGCTGCGCAGATGAAATCCAGATATTTTGTTGCATGTTTGTTTTGACTAGTCATCGTGGCTCAGTTGATACCTGCGCTGCACGGCGGTGTCTGCTTGTCCTCACAAACACTTTCTTAAATAAGCGCTGAAGTCTCTCAGATGGATGCAGTGCCAGTGGAGAATGAAACGGGAGGAAATGAAGGCAGTTCGCCGCCCGAGGCCGAGCACTCATTTCATGGGAAGTACTTTCTAATCAAACAGACGAACGCTGGCTGGGTGAAGCTGGAGAAAAGCGTCTCTGATACAGGATTGGGGTCGTGTGTGTCACGGACAGCAGCGAAAATGCGTCCTGCAGCTTTTGTTGTGGCTGTCAAAGGTTGTGCGTCCAATCAAGCACTACAGCGTAAACTCATCTGACGCTCTGGAGGATCTGAACTCCACCGTCAGCCTCACGTCTTGCTCAGCAATCCACTGCAAACTCAGAAAATACTCTTTTCTTGCAGAAGTAAAATGATCGTTGTGTTGGTTTTAAGTCCCATCGATTTTTGATTTGTCGGAAATACGTTTTTTCTCTAAGCTTAGTGACTTTTTCCTCATTTAGGTTTGTGAATATAATTGCAAAGTGGACTGATGTGTTAGTTATGTCAGTTTCTACAGGGCACATTTGGATTTGCATTTATGCATTTGCCTGACTTATCCAAAGCGTCCACTGTGTTGATGGCATGCATTTTTAATAGTTTGTGCATGTTAATTTCACTGGGAAGTATAGCCATTATTAATGTTTCTTTAATTATGTTTTAACCATTAACCAACATTAGAGAACGATAACATGCAAATATGTTGTTACATTATTGAAATATTAATATTATTGAATGTTAATATTGCAGAAATATTCACTTTTTAACATTACAATTACTTAACATTAATAATAATTTAATATTTGTATAATATAAATTAAATTATACAAATTTAATGTAAGAATTTTTAAAATTAAAATTACGCAATATAGCAAATTTTATGTAATACAATTATACAAATAATAATAAAAACTTAACTGGTTTTAAAGGAAATCAATCATTTTAATATTAATTTTATTTAACATTATTATTAATTTAATATTAATTAATATTAAGATTTGAATATCTGTATGATATTAATAAAAGTCAAAAAGACAACAAAAGATTTTCAAAAGACAACAAGCACATTGCTAAATAGTGACTGTTTGTTTTTTATTAGCTACTTTGGTTGCTTGTTCAAATTATTAATACATAAATGTTTCTTTAATTCAAACTTTGTATTTATTTTTTAATTTATTTAAAATTTGTATTGATTAATAACAATAATAATAATGACCACCATTAGGGAGCTATGGACATGCAAATGTGTTGTTAAATTATAAAAATATTAGTACTGTTGAATAATAATATTATCAGAAATTTAATTTTTTATATTAATGTATTATATATTTATATAATATAAAATAAAATAATATTATAAAAATATTAATATGAATTACTTAATAATATTAACTTTTTTAATATTTCTAATTTAATATGAATAAAAAACTATCAATTAAACATTTTCATGTTTAGTAATATTAATATTTAAACACTACATAATTCCTACAGAAATGTTTAAAAGTTAATAGAATAGAATATTCATGATTGTGAGAATGTAAATGTTTGAAAATATGTTCTCTTATTTAATCATTCATTTACTTATTTATTTGTAATGTGTGAGAAGTATTAATGTTTTAATCTGATTCTGTTTTTTTCATTGTGTGATTTTTAGGTTGAATTCGAGTCCAGTTACGAGGGTTTAGTGTAGTGTGTGTAGAGTAATATCTAGCACTACAGAGCTTCACACAGTCATAGTCTGTCAGCTCTGATCGGTTACGAGTCTCACTGCAGTTCCCATTTTTCCCGCTTTC